AACCTGTTCAAGATATGAAATAAATGATGAGTTATCCTTCTCTGGACATGAAACAAAAATAAACCAAAGAAGTTCAGAAGCATAGAATTGTAGGACTTTTTCCCAGTAACTGCTCTCTCTGTCATAACCCTATCAACAACTGGACTACCAACCAGGTGAAACCAAACCAAGTCAAGCCAGCTTTCTAAATATGCTAATGGCTTGCGTCAAATTTGTTTATCAAGAAGGAAATGAATGACCCATTGACCCTGAAGATGCCCTTTATCTAAAAGCCATTGACATATTACATACACCAATTGTCAAATCAGTCAAAGATTTTTCTCATATATCATTCTGTCTTGCCCAATGCCCTATTTGTGATCATATGTTATTATACCATAATATTAAACATAATTTAGTTAATATGGAAAATGATTCTAGAACTTTTTTTCTCTCCTGCATATTAGTAGTGTGCCAAACCAGGAAGAGAAACTTGTAGCCCATCTCTTAAAGAAAAGGGGGGGGGGGGGGGGTTGAGAACTTGTAGCACTAAAAGATTAAAATGTAAAGAAAGGGAGAGAGAAGAACAGGAACATGAGTAAGTCCACATTAATAGATAATGGCTGTTCATCATGTTACTGGTTGCTATATTTGTATGAAGAAGACGTGTCATAATGTAAATTCATAGAAGAAATGGCTCTAACACATACAACAGAAAATATATCATATCCTACAGATTCATAGATGTAATCCATATATATCAGAAATACATATATGATTATACTCTATGCTGCTTAGATGCTACCCATGCATATTATTTTATTTAACATATGATACAGATTCATATTTCCCTTTGAATTCCTCACATTAAACATGAGAATTTTTTAAGTTGTAACCTAGACATTCAAAACAACAGAATAGCATTGAGGATTTTACCTGTGAGAGAGGGATTGAAACAATAAGAGGTTCTCCATGCTCCTTCAAAGGAAGAATCTTAATTGTTTTCTTTGAAACTCCATCTTTGCTCACAACACACCTTGTAAGAACGTTCAGCGCATAGTTTGCATTTTCTGGTCTTATACTTGCATCATCTGGATTAAGCATCACCATTTTTAATGAATGAAAAACTAGAAATGTCTAATTAATGTTTAAAAGAAAAGGTAACAATTCTTCAATCTCACCATCATGAATGCTCTTCACTCGATGGAAGTCTACTAATATTCCCCAAGTAAGTGGGTCCTCAATTGAGAATGATGAGGACTTTTCTTCATCAGTGCATTGTAAACACAATACCCTGCCATATTTCATATAGGGTATGCAATACTTTGGTGACATTACAATATCACGAACCTCTTTCTTCAAACTTTTATATTGCTGAATCAAATTGTAGTAATTCTTCAAACTGTCCTCTTCTTCAATTTTCATTGAATCCCTCTCTTCTTCCAGGACCTTTACTTCTTTCTGCAAAAGTTATCAGTTCAACATTCAGTTCTAGGGTGGAGCTAAACAACTAAAGAATAAGTTATTAAGCATTTTGTTTTGTGTTCTAGGAAGACTTTTCATGATTATTCCAAACTCAGTTTGGCACAAATCTTGGTTAATTATTTGTTCATAATGAGAACAATACAAAAGAAAAAATTAGCTTCATGGCATATCAATTAATTTACTAATCAGTTTAGTAGACAAAGTATATGTCTCCAAGTAAACTACAAAAGAACTTCGGATACATGCTTTTATTTTTACCATTGATAAAAATGCTGAAGAGTTTTGTTAACAGAATCTAAAATCAGTTTTATTGTTCTGGAAACAGAGGCAACTAAGATGAAGGTACCAAAAAATATAAAATATTCCTCGGAATCCATAAATAGCAACAAACCTCAAGATCAGGAATGGCACGATCAGCCTGGAACTGATAGAATGAATTACGCAACATATTTTCAGGGTTACCATCTTCACAGCGCATTTGATTTAAAAGCATGTTGTAGCTCAAATGAAAGGCACTTGAAACACAATGGAAAAAGTCAAGCTGAAGGAAGTGAAGGAAATAAGAGTATTCTGACAGAAAGTACATATCATTAACCAAAAATAAATCAAGAAATTCTTGTTTTATTCAAGTTTCTCAATTTTAGAATAACATTTTCCTTATTTGATATCTTCCGCTTTTAGCAGTTGTTGAAGTTTAAATTCCTCAATCCCCACCCCACCCCTGTTCAGTTAAAAAAAGGCCAATAAAATTACCAAAATGGCAACAAAAGTTACGAGAAAAATCTTTAAAGAAATCAAACTCTTAAAATAAATTCTTGAATTCTAGATATGTGTTTAATCTGTCACTGCATTCAATGTTGCAATCAGTCATTCTCCTAGAAAATTGTCAATCATATTTTCATGATCCTCGAACACCTACATATTGCTAGCCACCCTTCTAAGCCCAAAATAACAAGAAATAATCACCGAAAAGAAGCATCTGCAACTAAACCTTAACCTAACTACCTCAAATAAATTGCTACAAAAGAAACAGTATCTCCAACCTTCTCCAACTATGAACCCAAAATCAATTTATTGATTTTCATATTCTTTTTATTAGAAGATGCTCATAAATGAGTTAACAAACTAGTTTCTCTTTTGTGAAACATTGGCCTGGCAAAAAAAAGATCAAAACAGTAAAAAAATCTTTAATTTTGTGATGTATATGCTTTATGGTTTTACAAGTACTGACACCCCACTCAAAGAAGCCATTCTTCAGAAACAGAACTTGGTTGACTAAAACAACTGAAACCTTCTGACCCATCAGAAGTCAAGCCACCTCATAAGAGTATATACGGTGACCATGAGACTTAACAGTCCATCTATCTGAGATCCTAATAGCATCATAAACAAGTTCACTTCAGATCCCTTAAAAATGAACAAAAAATAATAAATAAATAAAGAAAAATAAAAAACAGCCACAGATGTGACAAAACTTTTAAACTAACAAGGATAAAAAAACCCCATGAGATACATGCCAAAATTGAATACTAAGAACCATCCAAGTGGTAATAGTAATAGAACAGCCTATAAACATCCTGCATCAGCAGAAGAAGTACCTGTTCAAACTATCAGCACTTCCCTTAAGCATCAATTTAGCAGTAGAAGGTTCCAACTTTTC